TTATTATTTACGATATTATGTTATAAATCATAAGAGTAATTTTCTTATATTCAGTTCGCAGCCACTGTATCAAAAAATATTTCGTAATATCTGCAAAGCTCTCATGAAAGCTGATTTGTTCGCACATTCGTCTCCAAACATTCGGCGACAACTGAGAAAACATTTTGTTCACATATTTGATTTGATTTATACAAAAGTTGCACGATTCCTTTTTCTTTGTTCTGCCGTTGTCCCTGCGGGGCATAATATAGAGCTAGTGAAATGTGTACTTTAAAAAACACACACACACACACACGCACACACACACACACGCGCGCGCAGGACCTGCAGATTCCATGGGGCCCGCCCAGTTTTGCCGCGTTTATTTTTCATTCCTGTTCAAATTATATTGTTGACCATCAACAACGTTGGCCTCCGTGTGCTCGCTTCCTCAACCCACACACACGCCCCCTCCGCCTTCCCCTGTTCCCCTGTTCCCCTGTGCCCCTATTCCCCTTTCCGGCAGCAACCTTCAGCATGGGTTTTTGTTTCGCATTGCCTCGTTGATTTTTGCACAGTTTTGTTTGACTGACAGCGACACCAACGAGTATATATATCTATATGTATATTCAGGCGGATCTGCCCTATCTCCCCCCCTTGCTCCTCTCTCCCCCTGTGTGCCGTTCGCTGGCAAGCGACCCTTTTTGTTATTTGGCCGCTGTGCGCCCCGCGGCGGCATCAACATTAACGCGCTTCGTTGCTGCTCGCCCCATAATCCTTTCAATTTTTAAATCATTTTTTATTTCTGCCTTTTGGCTGCAATCCGAACCCTTGCCAGCAGTCCCCTGCCCCTGCCCTGCCTTGCCTGCCTTGCCTTGCCTTGCCTTGATGCCTTTTGTGAAGTCGTGCGACCCTCGCCGCAAATATTTATAAATGAAACGTGTGCATTTCGTGCTTATTTGATTGATGCGCCAGTGTCCAGTCCAGTCGAGAGGACCGGCAGCTTGCCCCATTCGACACACCCAAATTCTGTGCAGTTATCTCTAACGACAATGACATGTTTATCCCCAAATGCCAGGCGGCATTCAAAAGCCAGCCATTTACACCTTTAAAGCTCTCTCGTTCGCAATTTCATCAATTACTGCATTTAATCAACTCGTTAAGCCGCAGCTCCGACACCTGCAGCTGACCAAGAACAACAACAGCAGCAGCAGCAGCAGCAGCTGTGTGGCAGGGGCAGGCACAGACGCTGTGGTAATTACGAAAATGAAATCAGTCCCAAGGTAAGTTTCATGCTGAGCACATTCAATGATTACAGTGAAGGGGGCCGGAAAGCGGGGAACACAGAAGAGGAGATTGTGGAAGTGCTATTGAAGCTAGATTTCCGATTGCTACACGAACTGAGTCTTTTTTCTCTGTCTCCTCTTGCAGCTGCTTTGCAGGCAAAGAACTTCGCTCCCACTGAACTTAATTGAATATGAGGACAATAAAGAAATGCAAAGAAGTGAAATATCTGCTGCAAAGAGCTTTGACAGCTCACGGCAGCCTGTTTAGCTATATTCATTGTCTACACTCAATTTAGCTAAATGCTCAGTGAATTATTTTAAAGTAATTAATTATAAGCAGCATCGGACTTTATTTGCCACTTTAAGAAGCTTTGAAAGCACATCAAAGCTTACAGATAAGCTAATTGATGGCGCTCAGTTAAGCTTAAAGCTCATTGAATAGCATTTTAAAAGAGTTACTCAAAGTAGACTTTGCCAACTTGCTCCACGTAAAGCAGTTTCGAAAGCACATTAATACTTTTAACTTAGTTAATTGCTTACGCTCAATTTGACTTAAAGCTCAATGCATAGCATTCTAGAGTTATCGGTAAATAGTAGCTTCTGGCAACGTCTCTTCAGTTGAGACACGATTAAAGCTCATGAAAGCATTTAGGTTAATAAATTGCTTAGAGCACATTTATCTTAAAGCTCTTTCACAGTAAATGTAGAAGAAGTTTTGGCCAATTATCTTATCTTAAGACGCTTTGAAAGCACATTAAAGCTTCAAGACAACACCACATTTGGCTTAAAGCTCAATGTATACTACTTTATAGTTGTTGCTGAAAACTAAGCTCTGGAAATATCTTTTACTTGGAGAAAGCTCGTGAAAGCTCATGAAAGGACAGCACACAATATAAATACTCCCCTAAAAGGTCGATGATTCCATTTTTTAATTATACAAATTGTCCAATTTATGTATATATTTTAATTTAAGTATTCAAAATGTCTACTTTTTTAATATACAAAATTCATTGTTCTCTTCTAGCGTAAATATAAATAACATTAATTATTATAATTCAATTAATATTAGCGTGCATTCTAAATGCGTTCGTTTATTGTGAGCTCATATGTTGAACTCTATTCAGAAAATGCATTCATGCATGATTAATAAAAAATTATCTGACTGTATAGACGGCAAATGTGCTGTAAATATGCCTTTAATAAATATATATATTGATTCATAAATAATATCAAAATAAAATGTGAAAATTAACATTTTGATAAATCAGACAATAAATAAGCGAAATAAAACAGCGCGACAAATTGCTCCAAAAAGTATGCAACAAAATAATTACAAGTGCACAATGCAAATGCCAAAGGCAAAAATAATTGTGTGCTCACAATTTGAATAACAACTTTTTATTTTTATTTTACATTTTTTTGTATTTATAACGCAACTCATGCCATTTTATATATTTAACTTAAAGCATTGACTAGTAAAATTTACGAATTGTTTTCATCAAATGAAAATTAATATCATTTGTAAATATTAAAGTGCTGCTGAGTTTCAACAGCTTGAACATTTCCTTTAACTTCAATATAAACATTTCCTGACAGCAGCGCATAAAATGCTCTCAATTATTCATTAATTTATATCATACGCTCGGCTGGCATTCTCGCATCCTGTGCGTTGCGCAACAGAAAATGCCACTTAAATGCGCAACAACAACAACAACAACCACTCCGCTGAAAGGGGTTGAAATTCATTTAAAGGGGGGCAGAAATAAAATAATAAAAACGTTAAATAAATTGCGGGTCACTTTCGCTGGCAGCCAGACAAACGAATGGAAATAAAGAGAGCGCAGAGCCGAAATAATAAGATTCAAATGACAGCAATAAAGGAGATGTTAAAAATAGTAGATATATCATATATATACATAGATACCAATATATATACTTACATTCGGCAAGGCTCGCACTTTGCGTCCGTGCAACGTTGCGTATGCGCAATGTCTGAAAAAAACAAAAAAAAATAGACTGAAATTAATTATGAACGCGTTTACGCTTAACATTGAAGCTGTGCGCTCGATTGCTCTTCAAAAATCCAATAAATCATTTCGGCCACGCCTACAGCCCAACACCAATCCCATCCCTGGCCCCTTGACTTGTACATTTTGAAATGAATAAAGTTTCAGCTGGATGCCAAACAAAAGCAAAGCTATGGGCTATAGGTACAATGTCAAGTGTAAATCGGACCGAAAGTTAAAGCTGATAGCAACAGCTAACGGTTAAGTGCTTGCCCTCTGTGGGCGTGGCCCCTTCCCACAATCTTAATGCCTCCATTCGAGTCCCTTCTTGCGCGGAGTGGGGCGAAAGGCCTTCGCATCCTGAAGCAAAAGCAACGTTGAAGCATTTTCAAAGTCAATTTCCGTCGCTGACGGCAACCAAAGCGGCAGCAGAAAACAATTTAATTGGGGTATTCGACGATTTAATACCCTGTTAAATAAAAAGCGTATTTGCTACGAAAAAGTGAAGAAAATCCCGCGAAGTCTTAGCCGGCTAGTGCATACCCTGTTGCTTGTGGGCAGCTCTGCCTTCAACTCGGTGCACCTCATAATTAAGCAACCCTCCGCAAGAAAAGTAATCCAGGAGCTTTGGGCAAAACACTCGACTATAAAAATCGTTGTCGGCCAACAACTGTGAGGCAAATAAAAATCAAATTTATAATAAGAAGAGGACAAAAAATAATAATAATAATAATAGCGCTAAGCAAGTCGTCGCGGCGCCGAAAAGCAGGCAACACAAAAGACAAACGACCGGAAGTGCGGGTGGTTGCTTGGTCTGAGGGTGTGGCAGAGTGTGTGAGGGGGTTGCGACTCTAAATGTCGCAATTTTACGAGTCAATATAAAGGTGCCCGGGGAGTCATTTACAGGCGCACAGCGGTTGGCCCTTCCGTGCTTGGGCAATAAAAACGAAGAACGTGAATGTCGAATCCGGACACACACACACGAACAAAAATAAGAAGAAAACTGAAGCAAAATAATAAATAAATAAACAGGCTGCTCAAGGAAATGACTGGTTTTATGGCAAAGGACAGCGACAAAGGCGGCATAAAAATTTGTAGCCAAGAAACACGTGTAATGGCCGGCAGCAAAGGGTTGCGCCACCGTAAACGAGCCGCAGCCACAGCCAACTCGAAGTCGAAGCCATTTTTTTTATTTTTAAGCCAAGCAGCTCAAGGCTGCCCCATCGCGTGGCAAGCAGCTGGAACTGATTGACGACTAGCTTCAAATATTCTATGCCCTTGCTGAGGGTATTCCAGTTTTCTCCTGAATTGTGTAACGCATAGACAAGCTGACAACTCTGATCGGATAGTGTAATATATATTCCAGATCAACGGCCGATTTGATATAGTCATGTCCGTCTGTTGTCTATCCGTGTTTCTGGCCGCCCGTTCGCATGTCCGTCTGTTCGTCCGTATTTCTGTCCGTCTGTCCGTCCATCTATCCGTCCTTCCTTCTGCCCGTCCGCCCGTATATTTGTCCGTCTGTCCGTCCATCTATCCGTCCATCCCTCTGCCCATTCGTCCTACTGTCCGTCTGTCTGTCCATCTATCCGTCCTTTCTTCTGCCCATCCGTCTTACTGTCCGTCCGTCCGTCCATCCTTCTTCCCATCCGTCGTACTGTCTGTCTGTCCGTTTATCTGTTTCTATGCGATCTAGTCTCTCAGAAAAGGTTGGTCGAAAAGTAGGCTCTCATATGGCAAAGTATTCTATTTTCAAAGATATTTTCAACAAACTCAACATTTACGAGCTGCACTTGTCTCGCATAACTGCAAAAGGCTAGAGTATGCAAGGGTATTAAATGTTCGGCTTGCTACAGGTATTCCTAGACTTATTTGAATATTCTTTATATGACAAGCTTACTTTTTAATTAACTTTTTAATATAAATATTATAGCTACATATTTATAACTACTTAAACATGGTTTTTCTTTTAGAATTTCTTAGTCCATTGCCGATTTCTGGTGCTGGTCACCTGTGCCGTGTCTTTGGTGGTGCGTATATCGCAATTGTGGCAATCGCCGTTCCACTTGATGTTGCCGTTGCGCACACGCACGTGTCTGGTCGAGGAGGTGCGTACGCGTATCTGACCTGCACGAAAGCAAACATATATATACACACATATTAATAATATGCTAACTAAAGAGGCGTCTTTATCAAGTGGTCTTACCGGCGGGCGCCGCTGCAATCAGAACCAGAAATGCCAAAAGCAAAATGCACAACGAGAACCACTTCATGCTGATTACTTGAATACTTGAAGACTGCACAAGTTCGCAAAGATGTCGACAGCTTTTATAGCCAGGCAGCAGCTGGCGTATCATTATAGTAAAAATTAAACCCCCAAGAATATGTTTAAAATGATTCTCGTATCGCAAACAATGGCAAAGGCCAGCTGGGAATGACGCTGGGAAATGCGACTGAAACTGGATTTGGGGCTTGCCCCAACAACAAAGCCCCACCATTTAAAGTCAACTCAGGTTTTGTGTTACATCTTAAGTTACATCAATTATGGGCAAAATCCATATTATTTGCTTTTAATAAATTATTGTGCATATTGTGTGACTGGGAGCTACCCTCTAAACAGTTCTTGGCTTATCAAAGTGAGAAAGTAAGTTTCAATTGGCGAATACGATCAAGATAAATGAGTGCCCCACAACAAATCAATTCGACCGACCGTTCGTATATAAGAACCTAGCTTTCGATCGATCAATCAATCATATAGTAGTCCGATCTTGATAAGTTGTCCATACAAGTGGAGGGCATAGTACAACTTATAATTGCCGTGTTTGGATAAGATATCTTGATAAACGAGCATCTACATTTGGACTGATCGTTTCTATGGCAGCTATATGATATAGTGGTATGCAAATGCAAAGTTTTAAGGCGAAGAACATTTTTTTACAGGGTATCAGACAAACCTAGCTGCTCTCAGCCTCGTCTACGACAGCCTCATAACTACTTCAACTGCTGCTGTAGCTATTTTTATTAGACCTGTTCCTGCTGGTCGAGTAGTTGTTTTTAAGCCTCCCAACCCCTGCCACACCCAGCCGTACCCCTCACAACACTTGGTAATTGACTTTACGTTCGACGCTGCACAACACATTTATTTCAGTCCTAGCAAATACACAGATTTGGAGCAACTGGTTCAGCCCGTAATGTCGCAGCCGGCGCAATCGGCATTGTGCACAAAGGAGCCGCCGGGCACACGACCGCTGTAGCCCTCGGGCACCACAAAGGGTGCGCCACCGCCGCCAGCCTGGGGGCGCACAGCGTTCGAATCGTCGTCCTGTCCATTGATATAGACGGTGCCATGTCCCGGCCGACCCTTGTACACCTTGTCGCCCACAACCAGCGTCTCAGCATCTGGCGGCGAGCAGTCCCGGCAGGCGCCATTGATGACCACATTGCCGGCTGGGCAGGCGGAGACAGAGTGCGAGAGAGAGAGAGAGAGCGAAAGATCGGGATCGTGTTAAGGAGCTGTGGGCACATAGATGCGGGAATGCTTACCCGCCAATGCCAAGACTGCGGCAAACAGAGCACAGATCAAAAATAACTTCATTGCAAATGTGAATTCAATTGGCATCTGTTGCTGCCGCTTGGCCCGAGCAGAGCTTTATATACGCTGCTCGGCTTTTGATAACAATGGGAATTCAGCGGAAAAAGCGCGATGCCAGTGGAAATTCCATGAGCTCTAACCGGTTTACAAAGCAAGGTTAACAACAATAAAAATCACAATGTGGCCATACGGGGAACAGGGGAACACTGTAGTTCGTTTATTGGCACAGGTTAAAAACGCCCGCTTCCGCCCGCTCCGTGAGGGGGGAGTACCCCTTAGCCGTTTATGTTGCAGCCAACGCAGTCATCGTTGCGCACCAGAACGCCGGGACGTCCACGGGAATCGAGTGTGGTCACACGACCACCTGACCAGCCGCCGTTACCGAAGGCCGGATCCGTTATTATCACCTGACGCTGCCGCTTGTGGCGTGATCCACCCGAGATGTGCTGTGCCCCGTGTGCGCCCTGGCTCAGACTCCAGTCGCCCAGGCTCAAATCTTCGTCACTTTCCGACGATGTCTTGTGGCTCTTCGGCTTGGGCCTCGGTGTGGTCGTGCGTCCATGTCCGCCATGTGCGGTGCTCGGCCGACGTGTTGTTGTCGTAGCCGCATCGGGTCTATTGCAATCCACGCATTCGCCCTTGATGGTCACCTTGCCAGCTGAAAGAGTTTGATTCGTTGTGAGTCGTGGCTTAGAGCTGAAAGATCGGACTTACCTCTAGCGCTGAGGGCCAGCATGGCCAAGATCAAAAACGTTAGCAGCATTAAACACCTCATTTCGTTAGCTTCAACCTGACGCTGTGCTCGCTGGAATGAATCTTTTATACTGGCGACGAGAGGCGTCTGCCAAGAATCGTGCGCGATTGAAACTGAGATTGGGCTGGAACAATCGATAGATTACCCTCAAGCTGAATACACCAATGCTGTATATATTATATTCAGTGTATTTGATGTATATAGTATACAGATTTATTGTATGGAATTGCCCACATTATCAATACCTTGACGGCGTATAAGCTAAGCTGAACTTAGAACACGTTTCAACTTTGTACGGAAGATTGCACTGCGAATGCGTAGTATCCATTGGCGAATACATACATATATGCTAATAAGTATATGCTTCTCAGAAAGCCACTTATACGATTTCCCACTAAGTTTATTGAGAAATTAGTAAATTGTTAGTTCTCGACTGGAAAATACCCTGTAAGAGACGATTTGCACAAGCACTTACTTGGAGAGCAAGAATTAAAGAAAGTGAGAAAGAGAGAGAGAGAGAGAGAGAGAGAGAGGGAGAGAGTGAGAGCGTAAGTCTGCATAATAAATAAACTCTCTATAGCCTTTCTATGCGATTTTCATAAATTTGAAGAGCGGTAGAATTGGGTAAGGATGGAGGAAAAGAGACACAGAGAATGGGAAAATGGTGGGACAAACTTAAAGAGTTAAAATCGGCAGAGCTTCACATACTCACATACTCTATGAATACAACTCAGAAGACTTCAGCTATTTTCGAGCTCACAAAAAGTGCACAGAAGATTGATTCACAAATTTCAACTTAATAACCCAGTTACTCAATTTTAGATTTTTATTTTTAACAACATGTCTATTTTGATTTTAATATATTTTTAAACATATCTGTGTCCCAACGGGGTATAAACAGAACATAAGCTCCAACCCAAAGCGGGGAATTTCCCTTGTGCGGCTTATCAAGTGCTCGCCATTGACAGACACACACACAGAGTGCGTCTAAGTGAATGCATTCGATTTGTTGATAATCCCAATTTGATTTGCGCTGACAATTTGTGAATTTCCCCGTTGTAGGTAACTGTTGGAGCTCCCATATAAGTTCGAGCCTGGACGAACAACTGCATCAGTTCAACTCAATCGTTTGTGGAACAATCAACAATCAGCAACAATATGAAATTCTTCTCCGTTGTCACCGTTTTCGTGCTCGGCCTCTTGGCTCTGGCTAGTGGTAAGTGTTCGACGCCCAAAACGGATTAAAATTAATACATATATTAACCCCAAATCTCGCTCTGCTCTCTCTCGCTCTCTCTCCTTAGCCGTTCCCCTGTCACCCGATCCTGGCAATGTGGTCATCAACGGCGACTGCAAATACTGCAATGTCCACGGCGGCAAATAGACGAATCGAACCGAACGAATCCCGTTCAGCTTCCTAGCCTTACCTCAATCCGTTGGCACCATATTTATGTACACACTGCGTTTCAAATTAAACTTAGCATTTAAATAATGATAAAATAAATCAACTTACAAAAAAAAACGAAATTTAAAAGAAAATTTATATTATATTTACTGTCTAGGTAATTTAGGTGTCAAATATCTCAGCTTGGCTGAAGTTCTGTCAATATAAAAATTGTCAATATTTGATCTTGACTATTTGACCCTGAGCTGATTTGCAAAGAGCTTGAACTATTGACCCCCCCTCTATATTGATGGAATGTAATCAAAGTGTAAAAAGAAAATATATATATATGAAAATATGTTTTGCACATGTTGAATAAATAGATCGCATTAAAACAACTTAGACGGCATGAGGCGTTGTTGCTCGACTATAGAATACCCTATCTTAATATTTCAATAATATTTTGGAAATTAATACACTGGAAAATAAATAGTGTGCGGCTAGAGAATACCCTGTTTCTATATTTACAGTATAGTAAGGAAATATGAACGAAATGTGTTGTGCTCAGCTAGAGAATACCCTACCTTTACACTTCAAGAATATTGTGCAAATATACTGGAAATTTATATAATATGAGAAATACTTGATAGTTGATATATTGTAATACCAAATGTGCAAGATATGCATTTCAACTGCTTACTATACCCTGTAGTGAAGAGTAAAGGGTATCATTTAGTTATGCAATTGTGTACAGCAAACGGAAGGTTGCGGCGGCCTTATAAAGCGTATAAACAATGCTATCAGCCTTGTTGGCCATCTGTGTGTCATCTATGAGACTATAAAAATGACAACTAGCTTGTTTTGTATAAATATATCATTTCCATTTATGCAGTACAGTTATATTTGAAATATTAAGTATACGTCGAACGAAGACTGATTCGTATAAAGCTCTATATGTGCATATATTTTCCTTCCTATCATACTATTGCAATAATTATTTAATTTATATGCAACCGAAGAACGTCATATCTTTAACTTAAACTGGCCTTTAAAATTATTTATCTGTAATAATTAATATTTATAAAACTGCATTTGCTTTGCATAGTTCTTGGGAATTATGTTTGCTTCAACTAGTTCGGAATTCCAAGTTACGTGCGTAATTCTTTTATCAAATGCAGCGTGAAGTCAACAACGATAACAACAAGAATAACATTAAACAACAACAACATTAAAACACGTTTTAACAATTAGTCGGAAATGTATTAAGAATTAAGTTAATTAACATATAGCACGGGGGGCGCCAGGCTTCAGACGTCGCAATTGAAATGGAAATTCGATCGTAAATGCAAACAAATATGACAAATAAAACAAGTTAGAATGTGAAAAAAAAGTTTGATAGACTGTGAAATACCCTGCAAAAGACCATGTGCAGTAATGCAGAAATATATAACTAGAATAATTATTTTATTGGTTTGAGGTGCGAGTTTTTTAATTTAGTTTCATATTTCTCCAGGAGAACCTCGAGCTAGCCAATAATTGTTCAGGAATATATACACATATATATATATATATATATATATATA